TGAACACACCGTCGTGGATACACTCAGAGCCTCTGAACACACCGTCGAGGGTACCAGAACACACTGTTTTTCTGAGATATTTGTCTCCAAAACAAAAACACTGATGATTTCTGAAAATAAACTAAAAATAACTGAACCAGAGAAACCAAACGTCTCCAGCGTCAGGTGAGTAACAGCGGAGAGTCGGGTCTGAACTGGGTCGACTCTTCGAGTCGGCGCTGCATGTTCAAAACTAGTGGGACCATACGCTGTCATGGCAACAGACAAAAATCAATGCGTCAGCGATGGACGGGTCAGAAACAGAGAACAGGTTCTGAAAACACAGATGCGAGTCTGGATTCTGTGCATTCTGGTCCTGATCTCCTCCAGTCTGATTAAACAGGAAGCAGGTTTAGTGAGATGTACAGAGATAGAAGAGGATGAAGAATCCTCAACACATGATGGTAACGGGGTAGAACAGTAGAAGTTTCACTAGAAGTTTTACTACATCTCAGAGGTACATATTGTACTTTTTACTAATTTATATCTCAGAGAATATGTGACAGGAACTGTTCAAATAAACTCTTTAAAAAGCCTCTTGGATCAGATGTAAAATGCTCCATTTGTACATTTTAGAGAGACGAGGTTCTCACAGGAACATCTGATGATCTTATAGAATATGAAGCGTTGATGTAGATTAAAACAACCAACAGGATATAAAGGAGTTAACATGAAACAAACATTAATGCAGCAGGAACATCAGTAATCAAACATTTTACTCATCCATCAGTTTTAATGCAGAACTTTTACTTGTAGTGGAGTGTTTACAAAGTGTGTATTAGTACTTTTACTGCAATAAAGGATCTGAATACTTCTGCACAGCTGTCACACTGAAACACTAAACCAGGTTCCAACCAACCAGAAGCTTCTGATGTGTGAACCAGTGAACCATGAAACCACATAATGGTCCCAGAGAGACGATAAGTAGGAGTGGAATGAATTGTTAAATACCACTAATGAAGCGTCGTTGATGTTTGGCCTGTCTCATTAGACGGAGGATTCAGTTAAATACGTGACATGTGTTATCTACAGTAGTCTGTGCTGTCAACAGACCACAGATCAGTTTTAACCGTCAACTTACCGACCTCAGATCTGAAGGAATATCTGAAATAAATTCTTTTGTAGCGCTGGAAAAGTGTAAAACCGTCATATTTCAGTGTTTAAACATGAGCGATGAAAACTTCCATCAGACAGCAGATGTTTAACAGAAGACAGTGATTGGGTGGATGGAAACCACGTCACTAATATTCATGTTTTCACTTGTGACCAGAAGGCAACCTCCAGTTCTGCTGAGTGAACTCAATGCTTCATGTGTTAAAGCGTCACTCCTCAGTCCAAATATGGTCACTTCCTGTTCACTGGCTGCAAAAAAACACAACATGGCGACGGACGAAATCCAAAATGGCGACGGTGAAATTGCCGGACTCGAGGCTTCAAAACGTCAGTCCACAAACCAACGAGTGACGTCATGATGACTAGAATGTTTGGCTTCGACCAGCGTCCGAAAAACATCCGGCTCTGCTCCATAGAGCCGGATATCAATGATTGTAACCGTGAATAAAGAGGAGCAGTGTTCTTGTTGGTTCACTTTTACACTGCTATGTGATGTTACGTACTGGTCACCACACCACCAATCCACAGTATTGATACTGATACTCATACTACATTATATCCATGATACAACACAGAATACATATGTTAAAAAGCAGGCTCAAATCTAAATGACTGAATCTGGATTCATAGACAAGTATTAGATTACATCCACTCTTTCTGGACGAGCCGTTTTTCACACAGCAAAATACCAGAAGGATGAAAATCTCCAGGACGATACGAGCCACGCAGTCCAAATATAGAACTCTGGCATGAGGAGAGAAGATCTGTCAGGAGGGAAAAATGGTCCGAAGCCAAAACGATCTCTGGAGGCTCTGCGGCTGTAACGGCGCTCGGAGCTGCTCGAGGAGGGAGTCGTGACCTCCGAGCTTGTTCGGGGTGACAGCTCCGGAAGGAAAGCAAAGAGTGAGGAGACCTCAGCGGAGTTTCAAGGAGAGATGAGCGAGCTTCAGAACCTCTGGGCCTCGCCCATCAAAGTCTGGCAGGATATCAGCTCGAGAGGAGCAAGAAAAAACTCAACGGGACGAAAGTACAACGGCTCCCAAAACACACGAAGGGGCCGCCGGCAGCAGCAACCGGGCTCATCGATTTTACAGCTTTCAGCTGCAAAAACACAAAAACATCTGCACGAAGAAAGACAAGTTTGATTCTCTCCATGAAGATTTGATTTATTGTCGTGTTCACAAGATGGTCTCCCGTCCATTTTTGAATTTATTAAGGATATTGTTCCACAACAATAACTCACTATACATGAGGAATAAATAAACAAGATCCCAGGAGTTAACGTTGATATTTACAGTTTCTTTGAATGGAGTTTCCAATATTTTCCGGAGCTGGTAATCAGTAAACACATTTTCTAAGATGGGAAGTCAGCAGAAGCTAAATGCTGGGAAACACCGTCCGTGGTTTGGAGGTTTATTGTTGGTTTTTGTGAGCTGTGAGAGGAAACAGAAAGTTCTCTAAAGGCTCAATCAACTGCTGGTAGCATCTCTAGAACTCTTCTACTCTCAGTAGTTTGAACAGTGCTGAACTTGGCAGCCTACTTACCGTTTAACTTGAACGGCTACGGGTTTGAAGAACCTCAGAAACAAAAGGCTGAGAGAACAGACGCGTCCATGCTGAGCGGGCAGTGCTTTGTCTCAGAGTCTTATACCAGCGGGGGGACATCGGGGTCGTCCACGAACCCGTCGGAGAAGCTGCAGTGAGCGGCGGCGGTGGGCGGAGCCGTCCTGGACGCTTCCAGCGGACCTTCTTCGGCGGTCTGGCGTCGCACGATGTTAGCGAAGTCGACGGCCGTGTGCTTGCTGGGGTCCACCTCCAGCCTCTCAGGACCGTTGTGTCTTCTGTTCCAACATCAGGGGAAGACACAAGTTAGAGACAAAGACAGTTTCTTCTTCCTCTTTCATGACTTAAGAAAGCTAAATGACTCGGTACGCGTCTGAATGGAGGTCGTCTGTATCGAGACTCTGTGTCATTGAAACTTATCCTCATGCAACAGTTCTTATATCTTACGAGAAGTTACTCCTCGTGTCCTACAGAAGTCCAGCAACACGTGTGTTTTCTGATCGTTACATTGATCCAGTCTTTTCAAAATAAACTAAAATATATTTTTGTCTTTTCCGTCTTATTTTCCGTCTCGTCAGTCATCAGTCTGTATTAAAGGTACAAATACAAGTTTGAATCCATTGATTGAATGATTCTGAAAATGGGCCGTTTCCCATAGACAGTAATGGGTACTTCTACTTAAATGCTAATACTTTAATACTTTTAAGAAAGCTTGCAGGACTTGCAGGACTTTTGTAAATGAGTATTTCTACACGCTATGTTTACCTGCCAGCCAATCAGAAGCAAGTATTTCTGTGGCCTTGGTATAAAAACACAAATGAGATTTGAACATCAGCCACATGCTGCATGAAGTCCCAGCAGGAATGTTAAACCTGCTAATTGTTACCATCTAATCCAATCAACAGCTGATAATCACCGAGTGACTCAGAGGTCGAGTTTAATCACACACCAGATGAGAACGACGTTAATGTCAAAGGTCAATAAATCTCTCGTTTTGGTCGTCGGTGCAGAGACGTCAATCTGGGAGCTGATGTGTACGTGATATACGGTGGTCCATTGATATACAATGAGGTCGGTCCATTTACCAATGAATGAATCTATGATGTTTGAATGAGCTGAGAGTGGTGAAGGACTTTACAATCGTCTCTGGGGATTCGGGGAGTTAAACATCAGACTCTTTTATCAAATCATTTATAAATCTTTAGTAGATATCAAGATATAATAATCCATCTCATAGTTGAGACATTTCTGTTAAAAACCTAAGACGTGGTGTTCATGATGGCGCCGGAGGAAAAGTCATTAGGATTCATTGTCTATTGAAGCAGTAGACACAAACATATAATCTGGACAAAGCTCTGGGGACCAGTGAGGACCTCTCGTAAAAAGAACAAGCCTTCAGGAACAGCAGCTCGCACTTTGAAGCACTTTTTAACTGAGGAATTAAAACTTCCTGGTCCGTCATGTGATATCACAGGGCCCAAAGAAAACCTTTTCCACGTAGAATTACATTTTGAAAGAGACGTCTGTGACTCAGCTATAACTTTCTTGAGGTGCATCAACTTCCAAGTACGAACGCGTGAGTTTCCCTCCTCTGTTCACGTGAATGACTTTCACAGGAATGAGCGGGCTGTAACCAGTACTCCTCATACATCACTGGTGGAAACACACTTCTAGTAAAACAGCATGGTGGTTTTAAGGTGTGCAAGAGGTTTTACGTGATGAAGAGATCAGTGAGCATGAAGGAGACGAAGCGTACAAGGTGTTGTCTGAGTGAAGTAAGAGTTTAAACTGAGCTCTAATTAAAGGAATAAACCAAACCACAGTAAGTACAGAGCAAGAAGCAGCACCTGAAGCTATTTAAAGGAATATGTTGAGCTATTCCATGTTTATCTGACGGACTCTCCTGAGTATCTGATGATATTATACGATGGAGAATCACAACATCTCTAAACCAGCCTGGAGTGTGACTGAGCTTTGGGTTTCAGTCTCCAGAGGTGAGACGATATTAATGAAATGTGATGATTTTCCAGGAAGAGCGAAGGCAATTATAACGTCCTGTCCTGCAGAGCAGCAGGAGCTTCCTGACACTCTGTTTATTGAGAGGGGACTAGAGCTGCCAGAGGACCAGTGTGGACCTCCAGCACCTCTCCGCTCAGTGGAAGTCCCTCTGCAGCGGCAACATCACCAGCTCGGCGGGAGAGAAATGGGAAAGTCATATTACCTGCTGGTAGAGAAGGAAGCGAGCGTCTATTATTAGTGACGGATACGTTTAGTGAAGCAGCATTTTAACTGCTACTGCAGCTTTAAGAGAAGCAAAGAGAACATTCAGGAGACAACGGCCAGACACGACAAGAAGGTCCAAACAGCTGCTTGATTCTATTCACCATCGATTTATGTCAATGTATGATCCATCAATTATAGATAGATAGATAGATAGATAGATAGATGTATAGATAGATAGATA